GTGATTTCAATGATCATGAGGTCAGGTGATCCTCGCGATAATATCCCTCCTGTGCCTTCGTCACAGTCGGTCTCATAAAAACGAAAGTTGATAAAATGGCGAAAAACGTTGGGATCCAAAGAGGTATTGAAAATTCCCTCTAATTCTTGTAAAATACTACTGTGGGTAAGATGAAAAGTGATAATAGAAAAAGAAAATCATCAACGATACGTTACGTTTGATTTTTTTTTCGATTCTTCTTCGGAAGTTAAGAAGAAAAATGATAATAGAGAAAGAAATTCATGGCGTTTAGTTTTTTTATTCGGTATTCCCCCGGTTACAGGAAGTTCTTTTCCATCATTTTTTCCATCATTTTTATAATCGCTTTTATCATCTTTAGCATCGAATAAATAAACTATCAAAGTCGGAACAACAGTGTCATGTTTTGCATCGTAATCTTCGGCGGAAACTATTTTGGCGAAAAATAATATGAATAGTAAAACAGTAATATTCAAAACCATTTTGAAAAAATAAATATTTTCAGGTTTTTTTTGATCTGAAAGTTTTCTGGTAAATTTTCCTGGAAAAAAGTTTGCAGTTTTTATTGATGCCCAAAATTTATATGCATCTTATGAACATACTTACTCAACCTAGTAGCATATTGAAAATAAATATTTGGCTTCAAATAAAATGTAAGAAATCTATAATTATCCGGTAGCTTACTATGATAGTGCTTGCCAAATAACTTTGTTATTTGGCAGCTTACATAATCACTACCAAAAAACCCGAGTCATTTGGCAAGCACTATCTAGTAATAAGTATACAATATCGGGCAAAAATTGTTGAATAACGGTAATTTGTCTGGTTGAGCCAAATTATCGTATTCAACAATTTGCCCGATATTGGTGTTATCCGGCAATTTATGATCATGGCGCCCAATCATACCCTCTCCAATATAATTTTAGATCTAGAAAAAATTGATAATCGTATAGAAAAAAAAAATTCTTTTCTCTTTCGTTGGCGCAGTAACTTTTACTGTAGCCTTTTTTTTTAAAAAAAATATACGCTCTTTTTTTATCTTTTTAACAACGTAAAACGTTATTCCTGAAGCCTTGCGTACCTTGAATGCCTAAATCAAAGGCTGTTATGAACGGTCCCAGTGATGTGGAGATGAATGCCAATTCATCATCTGGGG